AACTAGGGAAGATTATGTAATGGAAGTGAAGTGAAGGAAAGCCATTAGTAACTCATATTCACATGTGAGAGCTAAAGAACTAACTCTCCCAAAAATAGTAAAGAACTAATACCTCTTAGACAATAAGCAACACTTAAGTTCTGCATAAAGGGATACACCAGAAGGCGTTCTGTTGGTGTGGTGCAAAAGCCGATCAGTCGTAAGAGGTTCCTGTGAACAGCCACGCTTATCATCTCAACTTCACGCTGGAATGCTGCATCCCCACCAGGACTCTCATAATCAGTCAACCGTTTCACGGCAACTTTTGTGTTGTCTGCAAGCACTCCTTTATAAACCTTTCCAAAACCTCCCTGTCCAAGGACATTTTTCTCACTGAAGTTCTCTGTAGCTAGTTGTAATTCCCTCCATGCAAATCTTTTCAACTGACCAAATGCAATTCGTCTGTCAACTTCCCCTGAGCTCAAAAGAGAAAAGAAAAGTATCCATCAGCATAGTCCCAAAGGAACCAAAGTTATTCTTAATTCAAAACTTCCACTACATTCTACCAAGAAGTAGTATTATTCGTGTCAAAAAGAGAGGACAGAGATTAACACACACTCAGACAAACAACAAAAAAATAGTAACTTGCAATGATATCTCTGCATGCATGAGGAGTTAAGGCTGAATACATCTCACCCTTCCCAGACCCTACAGTGGCAACAGTCTCACGCACCGTCCCGGCCTTTTTATCATTGCCTTTTTTATATCTTGTTGGAACAAAATAATTATATTTTCAAACCAATTTCTCAAAATTATATGCAACCACATGCAGATATATACAGAGAGGAAGGATAGAGAAGCAATCGAACTAGTCTTCATAGATGCGGGTCTCGTGTGGAGTAGGCATTGACAGTACCGTGTTGTGGCATAGGAGGGCCATGTTTTTGATAACCACAGTGTTCAACCATTGTTTTAACAGTAATTTATCTCGCCCTATAACCTTCTATGGCACTTCAACCTTCCAAATTCTAATAGAAGGTTAAAAAATAGGTGAAGATGGCTAACCAATGAGCATCTGAAAAAATGATTGACACAAAAAACAGTCCAGACGAGCCAAGAGCCCAACATCTTTTATCATGAGATAACAAATCAAGAAACTGCAAATCAATAACAGACATTAACGAACACAATGCCACTAGTAACCAACCATTCAAATGTCTAAAAATTTTGAAATTCCAATTCGAGTGGAAGGAAGAAGATTCAACCATGCAAGCCACACAAATTATGAGACCTAACACAAATGATGAATGCGATGGAACAAAGATGAAAAACGAACCTCTCCCATCATATGTCTTCCCAAAAGCGAATTATTTCCCATTTTCCACCATCAATCGAAGAAAGATGGAAAAATAGGACAAACCATGGGACATATGTTTCCAACAGAAACGGGAGGATCCCTGTCTCACTACATTGGACTCCTACCCATTAGACACCCTTAATCACAGAGCACCACAAAGAATCTTGCTCCGAAGTGAATCTTGGTGGAAACATAAAAGATGACCACAACTCCATTTTAACTATACAACATCCAGAGAATGTATCACGAACCAAATCAATGACATCATCTTTGAGTTTTAGATTACTTTGGCCAACATAAAATGGTAGAGAATTTTTCTGCAGATGCAAATCACACCAGTAACCTTTCTTAATCAAACTACATTTTCAGTCAGGAATATTAATCTACCAAAGGGAACATCTGTTGATGGGTTTCTATTATTTTCCTTCTATGTTGATGCTGACAGATTAGGGGATCAAATTGGATGGGCTGGCTCGGTTCATATTCATTCCAAACCCAATGTACTGAAAGAGGTCAGTTCTCTAAAATCCCATTCCAAAGTGAAAAAGGTCAAAAACAGAACCAAATCCTACCAAACAAAACCATTTGGCTCATTGAAGCGCAGGTTACTTAGATAAAATAACTAGGCAGACTTCCACAAGTTTGAGCCCTTGGAATTGAAAATTCTCAACTCGGCTTAGCTCACTTTCAAGGCCTGCCTAAAGGGCTTGACCATGAAAATCTGGAGTCTAAAGATTAGAGAGGATTGTTAATTTCAATGACTGCCAACATTAATTTCAATGTAAAATATATCACCATTTTAACTATAGAATTTACTGTAGAAGACCAGATTTGAATTTTCAAATCAGAATGAACCAAATACCACCAAAACTGATCCAAGCCAACCCATTGAACCCGGTTCAGTTTTTCAGTTTATCCCTTTCGCAACATTCATGGGGTACACTGAGAAACCAAACCCCTTCGGATTAGAGTACAGCTATCCCCAAATTAGTTTTCAAATAGGTTTTTTCAGTCAAAAATCTTTGGAAAAAGGTAAGGTGACTTAAAACTTATGTCCTATTCACCAATTGTTAATAATTGACAATTGGTTTTAAATTCACCCCTTTGGCATCCTAAAATTGACATTGACATTCTACTCCATTGTTCTTAATCTTGAACTTAAACCAATGCATATTGACTATGTTGCTTACATAAACATTTCTTGTTTATAGATGTGAACTCGGCCTAGACTGAGTTGCTTGGTGACCACTTTGTGACAAAAACGAAGTCTCATCAAGCTAGTGCAGAACTGTGACAACTATACTTGTCAAGGTTTCAAAAGCTGGCTTGCTGAGCGGTGCAACACCTCCTTCACAATGGCAAACCAAGAAGTTGCTTCTGATGCACGTGATGGGAAAAAAATATGTAAAGCATGACAAAGGGATTCAAAGGGCTGCCACTGAATGCACCTAGATTAGGCATGCACCCAGTCCACCCCTACTTGCCGCCGTTTGGGTGCGAGGGACCTAACACAGAGAGAATTGATGCTCGGCATGCCCTCTTTTCCTATGCCAACAAGAGCAAAATTTCAAAATATAGTGTATTCTTTAACAATTACTATGTAACTGTAGGTAGGAAAGGAAATGAAATGCAATATAAATCAAGTACTTGAAATGCACTGAGCAGATATACACCTGCAAAACTGCATGTCTCCTTATTCAGCAGGCCCCAAAACATTAAGCAAATGATAAATGTTTAGCATATTCGGCAGTGCTGGAATTCAACAGTTTGATAAAAACTACAAGCAACACAAACCTGCAACATCTATGAAAACTTCACGCTTGTAGCCTTTATGCTTAGCCTTCCACCAGAGTAAGAACAAGCCTCCAAGAAGAAGAAGACCTAGAAGTGCGCCAACAATCCCAAATATAATTCCCGTCTTTGATTTATGCGAAGAACCTGCCAAGGTGATGTTGTTCTAGGATAGGATTAAACTTGTCCAATAATTTAAAAAATTATGATGGCACTGAACATATTTCAATGTTTTTCTTTAAGGAGATACTCAACAAATATTTTATATTTTATGACAGAGTTTAGCTAATTTTAATACCTCCACCAGCAGAATCACAAGGGCGGGTAAAATTCATGCCACAATTCAAATGGTTCCCCGTAAAACTGCATTTGTGCAGCCAAAGTTAAATTAACCTCAATATTGGCAAACATGTGAGAAAGAAAGATTAAATAGGCAGAAAATATCAAATCAATAAGCACCTTCCACTGCTTAAACCAGGAGCACATGTCATCAAAGGGGAGAAAAAGAAAAAGTTTCCATACTTGTATTTTGGAACTTGAAATAAATGCTGAGGTATTTGACCGGTTAGACCATTAGAAGCAAGCTGCCTGCAAAAGAAGTATCAATAATGCCATCAAANAAGGAGCACACAAGGATCAAAATTTCGTTTCGAAGTACCGTTTCGGTCAACTCAAAAATAGNATCAATCGAAGAAAGATGGAAAAATAGGACAAACCATGGGACATATGTTTCCAACAGAAACGGGAGGATCCCTGTCGCACTACATTGGACTCCTACCCATTAGACACCCTTAATCACCGAGCACCACAAAGAATCTTGCTCCGAAGTGAATCTTGGTGGAAACATAAAAGATGACCACAACTCCATTTTAACTAGACAACATCCAGAGAATGTATCACGAACCAAATCAATGACATCATCTTTGAGTTTTAGATTACTTTGGCCAGCATAAAATGGTTTTGAGAATTTTTCTGCAGATGCAAATCACACCAGTAAACTTTCTTAATCAAACTACATTTTCAGTCAGGAATATTAATCTACCAAAGGGAACATCTGTTGATGGGTTTCTATTATTTTCCTTCTATGTTGATGCTGACAGATTAGGGGATCAAATTGGATGGGCTGGCTCGGTTCATATTCATTCCAAACCCAATGTACTGAAAGAGGTCAGTTCTCTAAAATCCCATTCCAAAGTGAAAAAGGTCAAAAACAGAACCAAATCCTACCAAACAAAACCATTTGGCTCATTGAAGCGCAGGTTACTTAGATAAAATAACTAGGCAGACTTCCACAAGTTTGAGCCCTTGGAATTGAAAAATCCTCAACTCGGCTTAGCTCACTTTCAAGGCCTGCCTAAAGGGCTTGACCATGAAAATCTGGAGTCTAAAGATTAGAGAGGATTGTTAATTTCAATGACTGCCAACATTAATTTCAATGTAAAATATATCACCATTTTAACTATAGAATTTACTGTAGAAGACCAGATTTGAATTTTCAAATCAGAATGAACCAAATACCACCAAAACTGATCCAAGCCAACCCATTGAACCCGGTTCAGTTTTTCAGTTTATCCCTTTCGCAACATTCATGGGGTACACTGAGAAACCAAACCCCTTCGGATTAGAGTACAGCTATCCCCAAATTAGTTTTCAAATAGGTTTTTTCAGTCAAAAATCTTTGGAAAAAGGTAAGGTGACTTAAAACTTATGTCCTATTCACCAATTGTTAATAATTGACAATTGGTTTTAAATTCACCCCTTTGGCATCCTAAAATTGACATTGACATTCTACTCCATTGTTCTTAATCTTGAACTTAAACCAATGCATATTGACTATGTTGCTTACATAAACATTTCTTGTTTATAGATGTGAACTCGGCCTAGACTGAGTTGCTTGGTGACCACTTTGTGACAAAAACGAAGTCTCATCAAGCTAGTGCAGAACTGTGACAACTATACTTGTCAAGGTTTCAAAAGCTGGCTTGCTGAGCGGTGCAACACCTCCTTCACAATGGCAAACCAAGAAGTTGCTTCTGATGCACGTGATGGGAAAAAAATATGTAAAGCATGACAAAGGGATTCAAAGGGCTGCCACTGAATGCACCTAGATTAGGCATGCACCCAGTCCACCCCTACTTGCCGCCATTTGGGTGCGAGGGACCTAACACAGAGAGAATTGATGCTCGGCATGCCCTCTTTTCCTATGCCAACAAGAGCAAAATTTCAAAATATAGTGTATTCTTTAACAATTACTATGTAACTGTAGGTAGGAAAGGAAATGAAATGCAATATAAATCAAGTACTTGAAATGCACTGAGCAGATATACACCTGCAAAACTGCATGTCTCCTTATTCAGCAGACCCCAAAACATTAAGCAAATGATAAATGTTTAGCATATTCGGCAGTGTTGGCATTCAACAGTTTGATAAAAACTACAAGCAACACAAACCTGCAACATCTACGAAAACTTCACGCTTGTAGCCTTTATGCTTAGCCTTCCACCAGAGTAAGAACAAGCCTCCAAGAAGAAGAAGACCTAGAAGTGCGCCAACAATCCCAAATATAATTCCCGTCTTTGATTTATGCGAAGAACCTGCCAAGGTGATGTTGTTCTAGGATAGGATTAAACTTGTCCAATAATTTAAAAAATTATGATGGAACTGAACATATTTTCAATGTTTTTCTTTAAGGAGATACTCAACAAATATTTTATATTTTATGACAGATTTTAGCTAATTTTAATACCTCCACCAGCAGAATCACAAGGGCGGGTAAAATTCATGCCACAATTCAAATGGTTCCCCGTAAAACTGCATTTGTGCAGCCAAAGTTAAATTAACCTCAATATTGGCAAACATGTGAGAAAGAAAGATTAAATAGGCAGAAAATATCAAATCAATAAGCACCTTCCACTGCTTAAACCAGGAGCACATGTCATCAAAGGGGAGAAAAAGAAAAAGTTTCCATACTTGTATTTTGGAACTTGAAATAAATGCTGAGGTATTTGACCGGTTAGACCATTAGAAGCAAGCTGCCTGCAAAAGAAGTATCAATAATGCCATCAAAATCTGACAAAAGGTCCCCATCTTGGTAGGTTCACATAATATCTGATTCTAGAAGCAATTGAAAAACTCAATTAAGTTACACATCAGAGGGAAAATCTTACTTGACTAAAACATATTCATATCATAAGAGATTAATGACTTACAAAACAACCAAATTACGAAGACTTGAAAGTGTTTCAGGAATTTCCCCCGTAAGGTTGTTTTGATTCAAGAACCTGCTCACAAAATCAAGTAAATCACATTTTTTTTAAGGCAACAAAACAAAATCTATGATTAAATGGCACAAAAATACTTACAAAATGCAGATACTACTACTTACAAGAACTGAAGCTTCTCGAGATTGCCAAGGGAAGATGGTATTTCTCCGGTTAAATGGTTGTTTTCCAAATCCAACATTGTCAGGCTTGTTAAATTTCCAATCTCTTTCGGTATCTCACCTGTTATGCCATTTCCTTGTAATGAACTGCAAGATTAATGCACGTTAAACGTGTCAACAAATCAGAAACGAAACATTGATATAACAGGATATAAGGGGCTTCAAGTGTCTCATTTCCCAGCCATCACTCAATACAGGAAAGAGATTCTTCCATGTATGAATAGAGAAATAACTTTCAACCCAAACTAGTCAGGTGCCAGGAGTAGTCCAGTACCAATAAGGTCATGTTTACCAAATAGAAATTGTTATTACAGCAGCCATTAATATGATTTAATATGGGGGGTTTTGTGGTGGACTTAGGATGAGGAAAGCAAGTAGCTTTATGATGCCAAGAGCTGAAAGAGAGTGGTTGCCAAGAAACACTGATACGGATTCAAAATATATACATCACAGGACACCAGCACGGGCAAATCCCAAAAACGTTGGACAAGGACATGGCGAGACAACGGTACATTTTTATATTTTCACATACGTGCAAGTACACAATTCTTTATACAGCTAGACAGATACGGATTCAAAAACTGGTGACCAAGTATGTGGTTCATACAACTACTTAGTGACCAACTAGGTGTGAGGCACCAAGGCCAAACGTTAACTAATAGACGAGGACTTTCATAAAGACTTCAACTTTTGATTTGACTCACTAAATACTTCAAATAAGTAATATAGATAAATAAATGAGCCTTTACATTTAGAAATACGCATGGCTACCCATTGCGTCAACCTAAAGAAAAAATGACCAAAATACCCTTGACATCAAATTTCATAAAACCTGATTGAGATTATTTTAGCGATAAACTAAACAACGACTGACATAATACTATGCCATCCAATATCAATTACATGACATTCCAAGTAAGTCTCAAATATAACTCCTTAATTGCCCCCTCTCTCTCAATCAAATGTTGTGCATCATATATATCCTATGTAGGCCAGTATCAACCGACAAGTCTTGCATTGAGAAATTGTAGAATATCTTAATCCTACAAAATATTTTTGTAAATACATCTACAGCACCCTATAATGTCTATTCCATAACCTATTTACAAATTTGTGAATCAATAAACCTCATCAGCTAGATGCCACCAAAAAACTCACCACCTAAGTAATAGAAAAGAATATTTGAAAGTTATAGTAGCTAACTTTGTCAATTTCCAACAAAATTTAACGTTTTGGACTCCCGATTTAAAAAATAAACCTATAAAGCTTTAGAAATACCATTTTAGGGTTCAAATCAATGTCAATAGGATTGCGGATCAATTTGTTATGTGGTATTGGTAATGATACGTAGCATGATACTTTCTCAAGTAAAAAGTGTAATGTAGGGAAACTTAGATGGTTATTGATTTGGGGTGTGTTTCGCTTTGGAACTCCTATTGGGATTGCTTCTATTCTTATACATAAACATATACTATCATACACGCATGCACATAAACAATTGCTCTTTATTTTACATTTACGGTAACTTTCACTATATGTCAAATTATATATAATTTTACATACATACAGACAAGGCAATCAATGTTAATTTTATGTTGTAATAATAGTCCAGAAAGAACTAACTTGGGGTTAGGGTTACATTTTTGGGGGTCGAAAATTTAAGCGTCATATATCTGGAACCCACCCCATTTGAGGTTGTCCAATCCAGATAGTGGATAATCTGATTGAGTGATTTCTGGTAAAAAGTAACACCTTTAACCATATGATGGCAACCAGACTAGTCAGCCTTGTCCATAAGTCACAAAACCAGCAGTAATTTGACATAATTTCACTAATCTACCTAAGAAAAATAACCTTAGCCAGCTCAATTTTTGGTCACATTCTCTAGGATGTCATGAAAGTACTAATCAAAAATCCTTTAGTAAGCAGCTGCTAAACATGACAGCTCAGTCAATGAATTGTCATTAAGACCTATGGTAAAGTAAAAGGTGTGGCCTCAGGCTGAGCTAGATGGGAGGAAACAAAATTATATGTTCAAGACAATGTATATAAACAAAATAATGGAGAACACAAGATAAAATGATAAAGTGTAAAAGTACTAATAACTTCACATAGACCTGTACTCAAGAGTATCAACCACCAGACTCNGTATATAAACAAAATAATGGAGAACACAAGATAAAATGATAAAGTGTAAAAGTACTAATAACTTCACATAGACCTGTACTCAAGAGTATCAACCACCAGACTCCGAAAAGTAAGAATCTCAAACCAGATGCACTTGGGGGCGGGGACTCAACTAGACGATCAATGCACTGTCTGTCACAGCATCTTTGGACATTCTCTCACACACTCACTTCCAAAATGAATAAGACATATGAGGCATGCCATGACTTAGGGATAAAACAGGACCGTGACACTAAAGACGATACATATACGTGTACATATATAATGCAAATATATATCCTTCTGCACTGCCAGAAACATTAAATAATTGCTTAAGTCGAGAGCACTGGTTTGAGGCAATTAAATGTATCCAGATCTCAGAGCTGCATAATTTAATATTTATGCATGTCAAACTGTCCTACACGTACAGAGTCAAAAGAGACTTCAGAACTCCGATTTTTGAAGACAAGGTACCAGAAAATCCCATATTGGACAATGATCTGCAAATAAGTAAGAAAACCAATTATTAGGTTGGAGAGTAGACAACTAAAAAGAAAAATCTGTCACTGTAAATGACACTAGCTACTATCGCAGCAATGTGCTAGCATGCATAATGGTAAGACAAAATGATGAAAAATGGCAACGTCTAATAAAGGTGTATGAAAAAAGTGGGCTGGATGATTATAAGGCCCAAGCCTTAATTTGGCATGTGTTGGATGATGTTGCGCCCACTTGGGATATTGACTAGACATGGGCTGATTTCTAAAAGTCTGCATGACCTTTCATTTAGCTACATTAACCACAGATTTTCTATGCATGTATCCACATCTTCATGCACCATGACCATTCATTGTATCTAGTTTTTTGGGGAGTTGAAAAGTTTCAGTATTAATTAGCTTCTGAAGTCCTATATATTTATGTAATTTCAAGACTTTGAAGTGTGATGAATGAATATACGAAAGTTTCAGCATTGTGTGAAACAATTCTTTTTTTGGTGTGATGCTGAAGAGCCCCTAGGTGAGATGCCTTGGGTTTTCTAGGTGTGAAGCCTAGAACTATCTTCTGTTTCTTCTAATTTTCCTTCTAGCTACTGTTCACGTCTACTATTCATGGCTACTGTTCATCTGTTGTTCACATACTGTTTGCACACTGTTCATCTACTGTTTGCACACTGTTCACACACTGTTCACATCTACTGTTCACAACCCTTAAACAGCCTGTTTTCAGTATTTTCCCTTTCCTTAGCCGCCTTCCAATGGTGTCCTACATCAATTTTTGGTATCAGAGCAGGGTAGTACCATGACTACACGATTCAAGATGGGTTTGAGGCTAGATATNATCTGTTGTTCACATACTGTTTGCACACTGTTCATCTACTGTTTTCACACTGTTCACACACTATTCACATCTACTGTTCACAACCCCCTAAACAACCCTTAAACAGCCTGTTTTCAGTATTTTCCCTTTCCTTAGCCGCCTTCCAATGGTGTCCTACATCAATTTTTGGTATCAGAGCAGGGTAGTACCATGACTACACGATTCAAGATGGGTTTGAGGCTAGATATAAGGAGGGAGCTGCTTCGTCAACCCTTGTACAGTCTTGAACATACTTTCCAGGTTGCTTTGGATATGGAGGAGTATTTGAAGTACCCAATTACGAGAAAGTATTGGTCTCAAGCTGGGGAGAAAACATCAAAGAAGTACAATGATGCAAGTAACTTTCGGACCAATGGTTCTAAGCCATCTTTTCAAAATATGGCTAACCCAAAAGGCAAAACTCATCCAACCAACAAATCAGGTGGAAAGGAAAGCAGGTGTTTCAGATGTGGGGAGACAGGTCATATGGCATTTCAATGCCCAAAGAAAAACTTACATATGAGAGTGGTGCATAATGAGGAACTTGANAGGGCTAACCCAAAAGGCAAAACTCATCCAACCAACAAATCGGGTGGAAAGGAAAGCAGGTGTTTCAGATGTGGGGAGACAGGTCACATGGCGTTTCAATGCCCAAAGAAAAACTTACATATGAGAGTGGTGCATAATGAGGAACTTGACCAACAACACCATGAGGATGAGGAGAAATCGTTTGATGTTGGGGCCTTTAATACTGATGATTTAGAAGACGAAGAGACTGACACTTCATTGATTTTGGTTGTTAGGCATATNGACCAACAACACCATGAGGATGAGGAGAAATCGTTTGATGTTGGGGCCTTTAATACTGATGATTTAGAAGACGAAGAGACTGACACTTCATTGATTTTGGTTGTTAGGCATATCCTTGTAGCCCCTAAAGTTGAGAAGGAAGATTGGAGGTGCACTTCAATTTTTTAGATATTGGTTCGTTGTGGAGATCAAGCCCGTAAACTTATTATTGATGGTGGCAATTGCATGAATGTTGTATCATCATCCATGGTTGAGTGCCTTAAGCTTCCCATTCAACCACATCCTCAGCCATATAAAGTAGCTTGGATTGACAACACTTCTATTCCGGTAACTCAATGATGCCTTGTCTCTATTTCTTACGGTTCCTATAGTGATTCTATTTGGTGTGATGTGATTCCTATAAAAGTTACTCGCATCCTCCTTGGAAGGCCTTGGCTTTATGATAGAGATGTATATCACTGTGGGAAACAAAATAAATATTCTTTCTCATTTAATAATAAAGAGATTGTTTTGAAGCCGTTGACTACAGCTAAAATAGAGAAATTCAAAAACAAGAAATCAAAGTATGATGTTGATGTTAAGTCAAAGTCTCTTCATGTTCTCACCAAGAAGCGCTTTCAACGAGAGAGCATGGAATCAGAGGTCATATATGTTGTGGTGATGAAAGAAGTATCAAAAACAGAAGCCG